CAGAATGGAGTAAAGCATGTTCATGCATTTATTCACACTCCCACTGGAATACACTTCTGTGAGGTTGAACAGATGAGGAATGGTAAGAAAATATTTTTCATGTTTTGATTCTGATTTCAGGTTTTTTTTTCTTCCTTCTAAACAACTCTGTTTATTAACATGGATGAAAACTAGATAATTTTTTTTAGAAATTTTTTAAATGAAAACAGACATGATTTTAAATATTCACATCTTATCTATTTTCCAAATGTCAGAGTTCTTGGTCAGATTTGAAAATACTTTTGAACAAGTCCTTGGCAACCTCCAAGTTATTCTTGGTGACCTTGATATCTCTCTGACCATATTTGGACCAGAGGAGTATATTTTAAAAATCACCTTTCTGCAGATAACTTTTAAGGTTTTAAAATATGATATGGGGATGAGCATTGGGACATTGAATTATACTAAGGAATTTTCTACTTTTTGTCTTTAAATATAAAAATAAAATAATCCACTTTGCAACAAAATCTGAGGTTTGGTGTCACTTCTGTTATTGATTTTGAAATGAGGCAGAGGGAAAAAATAAAAAAGACCCAGATTAAGAACCCAAATCTCTGAATCTGCTGACCAATACATATTGTACCATACCATGCTATAACTATTGTAACCATTATAGAAAATGTTTACTAAATAACCAAGTTTTCCTGACATCTTAACTCTGCAGCTCAAGTCCCAGACCCTATGGCTTGAAAATCATGCCAAGGTGTTGTGTGTATGAGTGCCCCAAATCCCAAGAAGAAATGGAGAAGGGATTGTGGCATGACCATGCCCCCTGGGGTTTATTTCTTACTTTCCCTGTATTTCTGCCTATCCGTCTGTATTCAGTGAGCACACACTCCCTATGGCAAAAATCTAAGAAAAAGAAAAGAAAAAAAAAAGCAATGATAATTACATAATTCTATTTACTGAGAAATTAAAAAATTATGTTAACATAATTATAACACAACTTTATGAGCAGTACCGATTATTGAACTTAGCAAATATTAAACTCCCAAAGCTTGTATTTCCCTAATTTGTTGCAATTGTCAGAACAGAATTCAATGAGTGGCTAAAAGTTTGACTGGAAGACCGTTAAGAATCATGGAGCCAAAGATGATAGAAATGTGTCTATCCCTATGGGGGAAAAAACCCAAAACCTTAAAGATGATTAGAAATTGAGAGTATACATTTTCAACTTTTTTCTTTTTGTATTATCCTATCCTCCCCTCTCTTCTCCTTTCTTTTTCTTTTTTTTTGTTTTAGCTTTATCTCTTTCTCTTTTTTCCCCAAACTGCTTTCTTCAGTAAGAATTTGTAGTGGCTCCTATTAAATGTCATTATTATTATAAGATAAGGCTAATAAAGTATAGATCTCTTGTTGTTCTGAGTGTTAGTGGATAATAGCCTCCTTAGAAAGTTCTAGTGTGCTAGCTTTTATTTAAGATTTTTCACTCTCTGTATTTAAGTGTAGATATAGCTAGGATATTCTCAGTGTTTGATTAGCAGTTATAAAGCTGTTGTTATATTAGAGACTGAATAGTTGGATTGAAAAGGTAATTTTTATTCCCCAAATGTGTATTTGTGTGATACAACTCTTTGAGCTCTGTGTAAGTTAAAATTGAACTTACTATTTTCCTCCTTCTCTCCCTTCTCCCCTCCTTCCCTCTCTTGTTTCATTCCTCCCCTCCTCCCGTCCTTTCTTCTTCCTTACTCAGGCATGTGATTTTGGAGAATGGAGATACATTTCCCGATTCTTAGGCCAGTGTTTCCTACCCAGATCTCATGGACTTTCCTCATAAATTTAGAACCTTTAAACTAGCTCTGTCCAACTGAAATAGAATGAAAATGACATATGTAAATAAAATTTTTTCTAACAGTCACATTAGAAAAGTAAAATGAAGAGAGGGAAATTAATATTAACAATATTGATTTAATCCAAGATATTTGAAAATATTTCAAATATTTAATAAATATAAAATATTTCAAATATATAATAAATATAAAACCTTACTAATGAAATAATTTACGTTCTCTTGGGACCAGCAGTTAGCGTAATGGCTATGTCGCTGGACTCCCATGTAGTTGACCACGGTTCGCATCCCGGACCCGGTGGCTTAAAACTCACGCCGGGCGCATGTGTGTGCGTACCCAAGATCCC